AATTACTTGTAATGGTTGTATTCTTCCTAGACCTTGGTGTAACTGCACAAACTGTCCTCTTCCAAGCCTCATGACAGAGACCCCAAGACTGCCTCCACCCTGTGGTAGGCCAGGACTGGGGCATGCCTATTAAGTTTTGGATTCCCCTGACTATCCCTTAGAGTTGTTGGGAAACTACAATGAGAGTCAAGAAAAGGACTATGTACATTTAAATTCTTTCTCTATAAACATAATTGCTGCTTTTCAAAGATGTCCTTAGGACCCTGTGTGCAGTTAGAACAATGGAAAATCAGGGATTTTTTCCCCCCTTGAGATAGTGGGGGCTGTCTTTCTCTTGGAACTGGCTATGTAGAACAGCCCAGCCTCAAATACACAGAGATCTGTCTCCCGAGTGCTGGGGTTAAAGGTGTGTGCCACCACACCCAGCAAATCTGGGGACTTTGCAAAAGACAATGCTTTTGGAGGTTGATGGTTACACGGAGAGAGGAGATGCTCGTTTCTCTGTGGAAATGGGAGCACTGGATCTGTGATATGGATAAGACTTAGCATGTGTGGGGTAGATTTCTTTCTACTGCTAAAGACAAGTTGGTTAGGACTTAGAGATGCAGGCACACTATTCAGAGTGGTTGGCTAAGAGGAGCAGAGGTGTGGCCTAACAGATGTTTAAACTCTGTCCCTTCAGTAAGTATCCACTACCAAAGGCTGTCCATAGATGGCTGGGGGAAACATACCTGCAAGACGTTAGCAGCTTTTCAGAAAAAATTATGTGTTACATTTTTCTGTGGGTGTGAGAGAGAGAGTGTGTGTGTGTGGAAAGGATGGATATATGCCAGCTCTCACATCATGCTCATTTTGTCTAGATTTAAAAAGCTTAACTTTGTTTTCAAACTTTCTTTAATTTGGGGGCCTGGTGAGAAGAAATGATAGGTCACTGGTAGGGTCTCCTAGACTTAGCAGAGGAACTGTCATGGGAAGGGACTGTTGGCCCTTCCTGCTAAATCTTGCCTATGGGGAGAATCTGAGGGCCTCTAGGAAGAAAGGAGAATGTGTGAAGGAGCCTGGGGAGTTGGCTGGTTCCAAGAAGAAACTGTGGAAACAGGGGGGAAAAGTAAAAATAAAAACCAACTTTCTTGAAGGCCCAGTCATGCTTCAGAGCCTGTGTTCAATTCTAGTCAGGACAAAGGATACTGCGCCCCCTGGTGTTAGACTCACATAGGATTCCAGCAAGCTGTGTGGAGACCAGCTCCTAGAGCTGCCTAAATCAACCTCAGGAAAGTTTCTTCCCTTTGCTAAGCTAGTTGGAGTAGAATTGGCCTTTCTTTCTCAATCCCGGAGACTAAGTAGAGACTCTGCTGTAGAGGAGGCAGGGTGTGTGTGCACTAGTTTGTTTTATTTGGTTTTCTTTCCATACAGTTTAGGCTAACAGGACAAAGTCTGCTTAAAAGCAATCCCTTTAGGTGGGGAGAACACGGGTCTGAAAACAACAACAACAACTGCATTATGGGTGATGTTCTCGTCTGGGGAGAGTGATCTGAAATTTCAGAACCTTTTGTTCCTTGTCTCAAAAGCAAATAGTTTTGAGTAAGATGTCTCTTTTAAGTTACAGTTACAGTGCTGAATAAGCAGTACACTGAACCATCTTTTCTCAGAGCCCTGCAAATGTGATTTGTTAATGTCAGTTCAGGTGCAGGCATGTTCCAGCATCCAAAGTTTCCTGATTCTGAGCAAAGATTTTTTAAAAGCACAAAATGTATCTCTTGTCAGCACAGATGCCCCTCATCCTCCAGTCTCATGGAAAGCTCAGCTAGAAAGCCGGAGAGTGAGCACGACTCAGTCGCTGCTATTTCTTTTAAAAATAAAGTACTAAGTGTTGTGCTGGAAGTTCTGCTCAGTGTCGAGTGTGGTAGGTGTGAATACATGCTGTAATTGTTCCAGGCACTAGACCAAAATGTCCCTAGAATTAGCAGAGTTTTCAGCTATAATCTGGCTAACATTTTTCTGCAAATAGGTATGAAGACCAGGCTGAATTTCCATTGAAATTTACAGCCGTTCCTCATCTAGTCAGGTGATCAGCTCTGAGGAAGAATTATGGCGCCACTGAGAGATTTCCACTCCTCAAACCTGTATGTCCTGTCTCTAACACAAGAAGTCGGTTATGCCTCACGGCAGCTCCTTCCTTCTGCACTGCCTTCAACTGTTATCTCCGTGTAATGGGCACAGCTTATTATTATCACTATTTATTAGGCATCTCATGATTGCCCCTGTGAAGATCATTCGAGCAGCAACCTTAGTTCTATAGCCATGAATGAAGTTTGAGCTGTTGTCCCAGATGAGAGTGTCATGGGTCCATATACTGTCTGGAAGAGCGGGTCTCTCTGTGAGAGAAGAAAGCCAGGAGGAAGAACAGCACCCAGAAGAGATGGCCTGTGGTAACCCTGCCTCAGGAAGGGGAAGACCCCGGTGAGAAGGGTATACCAGATGGCTAGTTCAGTGACTCGGAGCACTATTTCCCCGTTTAAAGGAAATAACCACGTTATGGGGTAAACTGCATACTTCCAAAATTCATGTTACAGCCCAAATCCCCAGAGCCTCAGAATGTGGCTGTATTTGGGATAGGTTTGTTTGTTTATTGATTTATCTATTTATTTATTGTGCGTATGCATTTATGGAGGTCAGAGGACAACTTTCAGGGGTTGGCTTTCCAGGTTTGGGGTTCTGAGGATCACATTCAGATCAATCTTGGCAGCAAGCACCTTTACCTGCTGAGCCATCTCACCAGCCCCAGGAGATGGGTTCTTTAGAGACATAATTATGCTTCAGTGAGATAAGCCTTAAGCTAAGGCGACTGATGGGGTCCTGATAAGATGTTGACACAGACATGACCACAGGAAGGTACAAGGACAAGGAGACCAGATGCCAGACAAGGAAACATCCTCAGAAGAAATCAACCCTGCTGATCATTGGTCTCAGATCTGAGACTCAAACTCTGAGGTGATAGATTCTCTTTGCTGAAGCCACTGGATTTTGTGACATTTGACTATGGCAGTTCCATCAAACTAACGTAAGCTACTATTCGGCATCAGTCAATTATGTGCAGCCATTTGGAGATGCAGATTCTGTGTCAACAGATTTTCCAGTGTGAGAGTCTTTTATTTTTAAATTTTGGCAGGATGACTGGCCTTTACGGGTGTGCAACATGAACAATCACAACGATCCGTTACTTAGAAATGGCTCATGTTTGTCTTGATGTTCTGCTTTCTCCATCTTCAAATTCTTAATTTCCAACAGGGGTCCTGCCTTTTCATCTTTGACTAGGCTTCCAGACATCATGGAACTAGTGTAGTTGACAAATATTATGAATTTTAAGTAATGTGTGTTAAAATTATGGGAGATCCACCCACTCCCCAAAAGAACACATTCTGGGCACTAGAGGAACCCTGGGACACTGCATTGAATTTTTTTTGTTGCTAACTGAACTAAGATTTCCATCCCTGATCTTCACCAGGAAAGGATTTATAGAACTCAGAAGTTTGCCAGGGATGAAAGGAAAGTCACAAACATCTCCAGGTACAATTCTCTGAGATGAACTAATGTGGCCCTGACCATTTTTTTCCCTTAGAGTTAAGCCCTAAGAACCTTATAACACAAGTATCTTTTTTTTAATTAAATTATTTTTTAACTCTGTGTGGGTATGCATATACACATGTGTACAGACCAGAGGCTAGGCATCTTTATTTCTCTTCATCTTATTTTTTGAGACAGTGTCTCTCACTAAACAGAGAACTCACCAGTGGTCTACACTGGCTGCCCAAAGAACTCTGGAGATCTTCCTCTCTCCACCCTTCCCCCAGCACTGAGATTACAGACACATCAGCACAGAAGACTTTCATATGGGTACTGGGGATTTGAAATCAGATTCATATGCTTGAGTGGCAGGTACTGTATCAACTGAATGGTTTTCCCAGACCCTCAGTAGAGACTTTGGGTATTAGGAGTGGAACATTATGGTTTAAAAGTGCTATGTTTGTGTGTCAAGTTGGCAAAGGGTTAAATGTGATGGTTAAAGGTTAAAGATAGTTTTAATTGTCAATTTGACATAACCCATAATCACAAGGCGAGAGTCTCAATAAGGGATTGTCTGCACTGGGTTGGACTGAATACATGTCTGTAGGGGATTGTCTTAATTAAGCTTATTGTGGAAAGACCCAGCCCACTGTGGGTCCAACCACTGAGGTTCTGAACGGTAATGAGTGGAGAAACCAAGCCGAGCATCAGCAAGCCAGTGAAAAAGTATGCATTCGCTCCTGCTCTTGACTGTGGGTTTGATGTGACCAGCTGTCTCAAGTTCCTGCCTTGACTTTCCCGCAATGATTGACAGTAACCTTGAATTACAGGCTGCATAAACCCCTTTCCTCATATGTTACTTTTTGTTAGGGTGTTTTTATCACAGCATCAGAAATAAAACTATGACAAAAACTCTTCTCTCTCTATGCTGAGCTGTTCTGCGGATCTTCATTCGGTTCCCAGTTGGGATGCCTTTGGAGGTTTGAGCTGGAGGACAAAGTAAACCTGGGGCTACCCATGCACAGGACCATGCAGCCTAAGCCACGTACTGTAGATCAACTGTAAGATAGCTTTCCATTTCCTGGAGCATGTTCTAGCAAGGGGTTATAATTTGGAAGAAAAAGTTTACAGCCCAGAGAAAGAAATGCCGTCATCATTGAGTCGAGTCATGGGGCTGCCCTGCTTCTCTGGATACACATTGATTTATAAAGCACACTGACAATAATACAGTGGAATGTTTGGTCTGGAGGTCTGCTTTGCTAGTTCTATTTCTGCCCAGCACTAACTGGAGAGTGTAAATTTTAAAAGGAGTTATTTCTTATGCAAGTTTTATGCATATTCCCTCCAGGGAGTAAGTGAAAGACTGTTTGAGACACTCTGCATTTCTTGGAAGAAGGTTACTATAAATTAATATAGAGCCCTCTTTTTTATTGCAGGCCCACAGGACACACAGGATGATACTTCCACGTTTCATGCCATGGACAGAGCGAGGCTCTCACGGGCCTGTGTCAGAGAGGCTGCTCCCCCCACCTCTTCCCTGTAAAGTTTATGAAGTCTCTAACTCTGATTCAGTTTTCATTCTTCGCTGCAGTGTGTGTTCACAGAGCCCTTGGAAGAAGACTGTGATTGCTAAAAGTTGTGAGCCTGTGGCGGGCAAGGCCTGTACTTGGTGCAGCAAAGGAAATTCCATCACACCTGCTCCTCAGTCTAGGATCCCAAGTTAGCCAGTTCCCACTTTGCCCCAAGAGACAGCCTCTCCTCTCCTATTACCAAGAAACAGTCGAATTTCAGGAAAGGGATGATCCCATATTTAAGAGGCTTGAAATTGTATGCATGACATTTCTGAGTTAAGTTCTAAAATACAGTCCCCTTAATCATAGGAAAAATAAGAAATGTAGTTAAAACTTATTTAAAAAACATTGCACTAGGAGAAATGAAAAATTATGTTGGCATAAAACATGTACAAAACTATTCACAGCATCAGCAGGGCTGGGATATAGCTCAGTCATGGAGGGCTTGCAGAGCAATGTGCATGGTCCAAGGTTCAATCCCCCAGCCCTGGGATAGAAAAGTAGGAGGGGAGGAGGTATTCACAGCAGCATTTCCAATATCTACAGAAAAGAGAAAAAATTCAAACGTCTACAAATGAAAGGAGAAATATAAAATGGTATAGCTATATGATGGGATACTAGTCAGCAGCAGAAAAGTATGAAATGATAGAGGTGACAGTATGGATGACTTTTTTTAACATCTTCCTAAGTAACAGAAGCCAATCACAAGAGAAGGCACCCACTCCATATTTCTGGAGTATATAGGCATACCTATACAGAGAGAAAGCAGAAGAGTGGTTGACTAGGACTTGGAGAGAGGGCCTAGACTTGGGGAGACAGCAGAGAGGTGCAGCATTTCTCTGGATGGAGATGAAAATATTCTTGAATTAACTGAAGTGATGGTTGGGCCACTTGATAACTACATTTTGAAACCACTGAATTTTACTTGCAAGTGGGGGAATTGCATGGTACGTTGATTATATCTCAATAAAGCCTTTAATATATTTTATTAAAATAATATAATAATATAAAAGATACTTTAAGACCTGGACTGTCTTTCTTCCTTTGAATCTAGTTGCCTTATGATTAATGTTGAGACATAACTGTTCCTTCTTGTTCTTCCCCAAGATCACACATTAATCTCAATATTACAATATGAACATTCCAAGTTTAAAGTCCCACGGTCTTCAAAAAAATCGGTCTCTTTAATACAGTGAGTCTCTTTAAAAATCCAAATTCTTTTAAAATTCAAAGTCCCTCGACTGTGGGCTCCTGTAAAACCTGTAAATTTAATAGTTTCTCACTTCAGGAGGGAAGAACCAGGGCACAGTCACAAACCGAACAAAGCAAAACTAAACTCCAACAGCATAAATAACATAATGACCAAGTGTCTGGGATTCACTCACGGTCTTCTGGGCTCCTCCAAAGGGTTTGGGTCACTTCTCCAGTTCTGCCCTCTGCAGCACACACAGCTTGTCTTCTAGACTCCCCCAGCTGCATTCCCCTACTGCTGCTGTTCTTGGTGGTTATCACATGGTACTGGCAGTCTTCTGCTGCAACTGGACTTCACTTTCACAAAGGCCTCTCTTGGGCTCTCTTCATGGTGCCAAACTTCAATTTTCTTCCATAACCCCTTCAATTCTGGGGTTTCAACTGCTACTGAGACTGCACCTTCACCCATGGCCTATCCTGATCTCTCACAGTGCCAAGCCTCAGCTGCTCTCCATGACCCCTTCATGACTTCAAAACCAGTACCACCTGGGTGACTCGTAGACTACCAAGTTTGACTGCTAGTGCAAGGAACAACTATGGCTGCCTCTGGAACAGCTTCTGTATGCAGACTCTGAGGAAACACGTCCCAGAAGATTTCACCTCGATGATGCTGGTCTCCTCTTAATCACCACTAATTTATTAGCACCAGTTGACCAGTTTCTACTGTCCCAGTAAAACAACGGTTTTACTTCATTGGTTCTGATCTTTTGTTTAATCACAGCCTATTCTTCAGCCCCAGCTAATCAGAACCACAAATTCTTAACTCAAAAATGCTTGGTAGAGTCTTTGCTTTCCTCTGAAACTTCACAATCCAGGCCTCCACCATCTGTACTGTTTTCAACATTCTTCTCTTCCGATCTCCTGTACAACAGCTCACTGAGCTCTCAACACTCAGTGGCTGCTCTAGCCTGAAGTCCCCAGATTTGTCCACAATCCTCCTCAAAACAACATGTTCAGGCCTGTCACAGCAATACCTCACTATTTTGATACCAACTTGCTTAGTTAGGGTTTCTATGGTTGTGATGAAACACCACGACCAAAAGCAAGTTGGGGAGGAAAGGGTTCATCTGTCCTATACTTCCACACTATGGTGCATCACTGAAGGAAGTCAGAAGAGGAACTCAAGCAGAGCTGGACCCTTGAGGCAGGAGCTGATGCAGAGGTCATGGAGAGGTGCTGCTCACTGGCTTGTTCCTCATGGCCTGCTCAGCCTGCTTTCTTATAGATCCCAGGACCACCAGCCCAGGGATGACCACACCCACAATGGGCTAGGCCTTCCCCCATCAATCACCAAACTAAGAAAATGCCCTACAGCCTTATCTTATGGAGGCATTTTCTCAATTGAGGTTCTCTCCTTTCAGAAAACTCTAGCTTGTGTCAAGTTGTCATAAAACTAGCCAGGACAGGGCCCGAGTTCAGTTCTTAGCACCCATGTTGGATGGCTCACAACCACCTGTAACTCCAGCTCCAGAGGATCCATGCCCTCTCCTGTCCTTTACAGGCACCTACACTTACATATTTGCACATACCCATACACAGGCATACACATATGCACATAATTAAATGTAAAATAAATATTTAAATGACATGCACATATTTAAATGATTCTGAAAGTGATTTATTGGGGTTCTCCTGTCCCCTTCTTTAGAGACTAACACTCCAACCTTACCTGAAAGAAGCGATGACCCCATTTTCAGTTTACATGCTGTGGTTATTGCTGACCATCTGCCCACCCTAGGCTTGCTGACTCAGGACTTCATCACTGGGCATATCCTGTCCAATGGGATGCTGACTGATGCCAGCTCACATTGACTCTTATGAATCAATCCACAAACAGAGAACTCTTAAGCCATTTGTTACACTCAATTGCCGTAGTAATTCAAAGGACAGGAACTTAAAATGAAATAAACTTAAAAGTCTTAAAAGGAGCAATTTTCATGCCTTCTTCCTTCTTTATCATTTCACTACATTTTATCACCACCTGGGGTCTTGAGGTTACTAGTATCTATTGGCTCTGTGAGTGGAAAAACTGTATTGTGGCATGTTCCTGGCATCTCAGTTCCATGGTCAGTGGCTTCCCCTCAGTAGCCTGGAGTTCCTCATGGGGGGAGTACTGACAGAATAGACCAGTGCTATTGAGCAGGGCTCCCCTTTCCTGAGGAGGATGTTGTTAAATATTTGCCAGCTCTAGTGGGTGGCCCCCTAAAGATAATTCTACATCCCATTTCCCAGAATGGGTGACTAGAGCCTCATTTGAATAAAGGTCTTTGTAGCTGTAACTGCATTAAGAATTTTGACGAGATAGCCTGCATTCTAAGACAAGAAGAAGGCAGGGTGACACACACAGAGGAAGTGAGGGGGTAGCGGGACCACAGAGACTGAAGTTAGAATGAAGTTGCCATGAACCAATAAGTTCTCAGAGCCACCGTAGGCTGGTAAAGACAGGAACAGAATCTTCCCTGAAGTAGCTAGAGGCAGCATGGCTCCACAACCTCCATGATTCTGGACCCATGCTGTCCAGAAATATGAAAGAATAGATTTCTGTTGTTCTAAGTTGCTCAGATTTGACAATTAAAAAAAACAAATACATGAGAATGCCACTGTAGTCTTGTCCTGTGGCTTAGGGATGAGCACATGGCACAGTGCAGCTGATCGGAAGTCAGCTTCCCCTGGGAAGTAAATGCTCCTTCTGTGGGGAGGAGGGGAGGGGGGTTGCTAGGTGCTTTCGCCTGCCACCATAGTGCCCAAGACAAACCAGTGCAGAAATGGGAAGTTGAGGCTCAATGGGAAGCCCCTGCCAGTGTTGGTAAGAACATGTATTAAACAATTGAGCTCATTTCTTTTTAAATCAAATTCCTAAACAACAATGCATTAATTTTTAGGGTACATTTAAGATGTTTATTCACACAGAATACTGGAAATATATAAGTTGCTATCTTTTTGTTGGTGTGATAAGCAGTATTAATTTTTTATTATGGAGTCCATGATTTCTGGACAGTCCTAAATTCATGGAATTTAATTATTTTTTCCTAAGGAGAAGTAATTTAAAATGCATTTAAATACCCAGAATTCTTCATGAGATAACCTTTACAAATCATACAAAACTATTTGGGTATAAAGTGCAACTCAGAGGCAGAGTGTGTGTGTGTGGTGATTTGAAAGAAAATGGCCTCCAAAGAGAGTGGTACTCTTAGGAGGTGTGGTCTTGTTGGAGGAAGTGTGTCACTGTGGGGGGCGGGCTTTGAGATCTGCTATGCTCAAGCTATGCCCAAAAAGTGTGACAAACAATTCAGTTCCTGCTGCCTGTGGATCAAGTTCTAGAACTCTCAGCTCCTTTTCAGCACCATGTCTGCCTGTATGCTGCCATGTCCTTCCGTCATAATAGATTAGACTAAACCTCTAAAACTGTAAGCCACCCCAATTAAATGTTTTCTTTGATAAGAGTTGCTGTGGTCATTGTGTTTCTTCACAGCAATACAAACCCTAACTAGACAGTGTGCTTAGTTTGTGAGAAATTCTGGGTTTGATCCCTGTAGCACACATACACACACATGCCTGGACATATACACAAATAAATAAAAGAAAGAGTTTTCAGAGGAGGATATTATATCATTTAGACTTTTTACTGGCTAAAATATTACTTACCAAAAATAAAATAAAATATTCTTAAGAACAAGTAAGCAAACCACATTCTGCAGAAGAAGAATTTTTCTGAGGCCATAAAACATACATTGATACAACAACAGTATTAATTCAGTTTTGCCCGGCCATGATGTTCCAGGAGATTAGGACTATTTATTATGAAGCTAAAGGAAATTGGTAGAAAATAGAAACTTAGCTTTAGAACTTCCCATACCACCCTACTCCCTGTGTTTACACAGAGTCTCACTATGTAGCCCTGGCTGGCCTGGATCTTGCTGGATCCTGCTGGCCTTGAGCTGGCAGAGATCCACCTGCCTTTGCCTACCAAGTGCTGGAGTTACAGGCGTGTACCACCAAGGCCCAAGATTCCTCATAAGATAGCCCCATTGAAGCCTAGAAAACTGCAAACACATCAGGTCTATCAAAGACAAAGGTAGACAGACTCAAATGAGGTTTACAGAAAAGACGAGAATATAATTTTCTTGCCACCTGACAAAAAACACTTTTAAGTGTTTCTCATTCTCAATAACTCTGGTTGAGAGCAACCCTGTAAGTTTGCTTTTTTCCCCCTACAGCTAAAAAAAAAAAAACAAAAAAACTCACCACCAAAGTTGAAATATAAGAAACTGGAAAAAATCAGTGATTTGTTCCTTGATGGTAACTTTACAGCAAAGATATACGTGTTTCTTTACACTAAATTGTTTTCTTCATGTGGAAACGGCTGATAGGAATCTAGGAATGGATATAATTAAGTACTGTGTGGCTCCTACTCCAAAATGCCCCTTTTCTTTTCTTTGAAGTCACGCAATTCAACATTTGCCCAGGAACTGAAGTCGAGGACCAGAGTTAGGCCCTAGAGACATTTCAAAGCTGCCCAGACAAAGGCTCGGAATGACTGCACAAGGGAACCGTCCTGCCTTGGATTCAAATCGAAATTGATGACCTAATATATCTTTTCCAGCACTGACGGCCATAGTTTTATGAGCATCAAGAACTGGGTGTCTGCCATTGTCAACAAACAGAGCTTCTCTCGAGCTTTTCCATGCATGACATGGAGCACCCCAAAGGCATGCTGCAGTCTCTCCAGGACTAGAGTGTGGCCTCCAGCTTTTGCCACATGTGGGATAAATCTCTGTT